AAGGCAGAAATCACTTCACTGGTAAGTGGTGGAGATGGGGCCTCACTTCAGATAGCCTGGCTCCACACCCAGCACCTGCCCAGTGGACAGTGCTAGTCTCTGCAGCATAAAAATCTCACTTCCTGACTCTCCTTGGGCTTAGAAGGCATTTTAATTCATAGAAATACAATGCTAATTTTTTTCTGGGTGTGATAGGAGAAGGAGTTGTTAACTTTCAGTAAGTGTTTTTCTTGATAACTCTATTCTATCCAATGAAGGAAAATGCATTACTTTTTAAAAATGCACTAACTTTAGCTTCCAGTGTCTTATTTTTTTCATAAATTGGGGATTGTTATTTTCACTATGACTTTCCCTCCACATTTTATCTAGTCAAGATTCAGTGATAAAGTGAATAAAGTATTAACTAATAAGATTTTTGAAATCTTCAGGGAAAAAATGTAATATTATAACAAGAAAATTGATATAACAGCAGATATCATAACTGGCACAATGAATTTTAGCTTTGGTATTCCCAGATGCTCCCTGTTCAGTTCTTAGTCGAATATATTTCAATCTAGTAGAAAATAGTGATCCTGCCAACTGTTATTAATGCTCGCTTGCCTTTTAATTGAAGCATACTCTTGGAAAATGTCGTACGCATCAGGGGAAATATAATACATTCAGTATCAGAATAAATCTTTTTTTGAAAAACACTGGATGATTTTTTTTCACTTTTTAGTCATCCCACAGTATTTCTGGTTTATCAGGCCTTTTTTCTTTGCTAGGCAGTGATAGTAATGCATACACTTACCTTTTTCCAATAAATCCTCCTTTTATAATTTGGGTTTCTTTTTATCTCAGCTTTCCATCAGAAGGATTTTATCTCAAGGCATATTGCAACCAATTTCCTCTGTAATTAATGCCATATCAGCCTCAGAGTCCATTTCAAATCCCAAATGAAAATTGATGAGGCAGCCAACCACAAATAAGGATCACATCCCACTGATTAAACTATCAGTCTGGTTTCCAGACTGTCACATTATATTGCTGAATCATAACCAAGGGGGGAGTTTCCTGGTCTTTTGCAATGTATATTGCTCATGGTAACTGTCCATAAATTGTCATTAGCAGGTGGAGAGAGGTATTTCATATGACCTCTATCAAATTCTACCAGAAAAACTAATGATTAAACAGGGTTGTGTTATAGGAACTGAGACTCCACAGAATATAAAAAATATCTAAACTTGATTTAAAAAAAGAACCACAAACAAGATTTACTGGGAAAAGATAAAATACTCTGGTGCTTTTGTCCTGTCAGGTGGAGTGTGCATGGTTAAGTCAGGTAGCTATCCATATACAGTCTAGGATGCTAGCAGACAAATCCTCTACTGACCAGTCAACTTTAGACTTTCTCGTGGGAGTTGGATGTGTGGTTGATGTGTAAGGGGACCATTCATGTAAGGTCAGGGGCAAGAACTCAGTCATGCATTCTATTCATTCCGTCACTCAGTGTCTGTTAACCTATTTTCTAAACACTGTGTGAAGAATGAAAACAAACAACAAAAGATGATGCTGTAAGTGGTGGTGGGAGACAGATAAAGATACAATCATCACATTAGGGAGAGTGCCATCACAGAAGTAGATACAAAGTACTAGTCAAATATGTGAGCATTTACGTAGAAAGTACTAGTCAAGTTTTCAGGGTGTGTGTGTCTGTGTGTGTGTGTGTGCATGCACATGTGTTTAGACTTCATGCAAGAGGTCCCCGGAACCCTGAGGTAGTGATAATTAATCAGGTTAAGATGGGACCAGTGCAGAAGGTTTGAGGAAGTAGAAGCGATATGAGCGGTGTGAGTGAGAGCATGACTTGTTTGGTTACTTTAGAAAGTTAGTAATAGCTTGAAAGATGGATGTGAGGAGCATTTTTAGAGAAAAACACTGAATAAAAGCAGCCAGATGTTCTTTCCTAGAACATTTAACCGTCAGGGTGAACAGGTAGGTATGAGTGTGATCATGAAAACATACTTGTGTGTGTGTGTATGCATATGTGCTTTTGAATGCATTACATATTTCAATAAGTAACATATTCTGTATATTTTTGAGTAAGTTATCTTAAAAATTAAAGTGAATTCTTTCATGCTTCCCAAAGGATCATATTTGACACCAAAGGAGAATGCTTAATCCTTCAGTTTGAATTCTGATTTTGGTTTGTCTCACTGATATCTGTAGCTGCCCCAAAATGGTGGAAGACAGGGCTGAGACAAAAATATTCCAGGGTTTTTCATTTTACAGAACAATCTGCTCTTTGTGGGAAATGAAATCACACTGACTTACTAAATTAAAAAGATTGACTTCTCCTCCTCTCCAAGACTTGGCCACCTTGTCTAATTCTTCAGCTCTCTGAGAACACTAAGTACCACAACATACAGCAGTTGATAGGAGAGGTCCAGGGGAGGGAGCATATGTTTCTTGTCAGGTATATGCCACAGAGTATGTATACGTAAGAGGACCTTGCTCAGAAAAGTAAACTGAAAAAAAAATACATATTGAGCAAATGACTTAGTACTATTGGTTATGATTGTTCTCTTTAATGAGTTGATATGTTTCCAATATTATTTTAGATTATAAAATCCTAGTCTCAAAAAATGATTATAATTCTTAAAACTGATGATGATGAATATTGGGGATGCTGGGAAACCAAGCAATTAGCTCCCCTCCCTGGTAGGCGGCTGTGGTGTGGCAGGCTGCGGCCCCTCCAGGGGGAGAACCACCAGCGGCTCCTGAGTTCTGCGCCATGTTGGAACTTAGGACCCTGGGAAACCAAGCAAGCAGCTCCCCTCCTGGTAAGCAGCTATGGTGTGGCAGGCTGTGGCCACCCCTGGGGAAGAACTACCAGGGTCTCCTGAGATCCACGCCATGTTGGAACTTAGGACCCTGGGAAACCAAGCAAGCAGTTCCCCTCTCTGGTGGGTGGCTGTGGTGTGGCAGGCTGCAGCTCCTCCAGGGGGAGAACCACCAGCAGCTCCTGAGATCCATGCCACGTTGGAACTTAAGATGCTGGGAAACCAAGCAACCAGCCTGTGTCCCTGCTAAGCAATAGTGAGCCTACTGGTGCATGGGCTCAGAGTCAAACATCCCACTTCCCTTACCCCCTTCTCCTGCTCCCTGTTAGCAAATGGGAACCAGAGATCTGAGTATCTCTTGGGAGGTTGACCATAGCAAATAAGGGATATTTCCTTCTACCATCTCTTTGAAGGCAAATATTTTTATTACTGTTTTGCTTTATTCTGATTAATGGTACTGCTCTATTCAATATTCTGCTTTGATAAGTTCAATAATGTTCTGTATTTCATTTTATTTGGATATATGTGATTGAAAGTACAACTATTGTGAAAATACAGAGATATGCTGTGATACCTATTACTGTTATCCCAGTAACCTGCTGTGAAGTTCTGTACCAATTTCACTGTATGATCTTAGTTGGCTTTATTCTGACTTGTTCTCTTGTATTTTAGTACCTTCAAAAAAAAAACATGATGATGAATATAGAAGTAATTTGTGGAGTAAACAGGCCCAAGAAAAATTCTCAGAGGGAAACATAAATGAAAGCAAATGGAGAGATCTGGCTTTGCCGAACTAGAAATTTCCAAGCTAAAAAATTTCTTTCTTTCTTTTTCTTTCTTTCTTTCTTTCTTTCTTTCTTTCTTTCTTTCTTTCTTTCTGAGCTGGAAATTTCTAAAGGTTTTTTGTATAGAATGCTGCATGTGTGCAGTTTGTAGCTTTAACATGAAGGACATCAAAGGATTGGCAGAGATGCAGAGGGTGATAAATGCTGATGGGGTCGGCTTGGCTTATGTGTGTGCTGGCCCCCTGGGAGGACAGCCCTGCTGAGTCAGCTTTGAGGAGAAAGCTCCTTCCTGTGCTGCTCAGATGTCCCAGGCATCCCACTGATGGGACAGGGGCTGAGACTGTTGTTCGTGGCCTGGCTGGCTACGTGGTGCAGACCACCTTACAAGGAAGGAGTACCATTGTCTCGGAGCACAGAGCACTTGGCCGGGTTTCTTCAGTGAGGATGAATTCAGCTTGGCCACAGACTTCTTTTGCCCAGTTTGGCTGCCCTTGTGCTCCAATGACTTGGAGGAAGTCTCAGAATCTAAGTGACCCAAGATCACAAGTGTGACAACTTATTTTTATTAATAGAAAATAAGCCATTGTTCCAGTTTCAAAGTCGTTATACTTGACATTGCAAATAAAAATGAGTTTAAAATAATCCAACATCCTACTTTGAGTAAGAAAATGAAACTGTTGCTTAAAAAACAATGTCAGCACTTCAGAGCTGGCAGTAATGAATGGCATGCCTACTTCAGGACAATGAGCCTAGTGCAGATGCTAATTAGGGAACTAGCAAGGTCAGTGCAGGAGGAGCTGAGGCCAGGCCCCTACATCTCTTCCTTCCCAGACAGGTGGCTCTCACTGCTCATCCCAGATCACCTGGCAAAGCACAGAGCCATTTGCTGGAGCATCAGAAACTTTCAAAGCTCCAGGGTTTTTTTGTTTGTTTGTTTTGTTTTTATATGGAGACTCCTGTTTATATATTTGTTCCTATAGTTCACTGGCATTATCCTATGTCTACATAGGATGCTTTCAGAAATACTCAAGGCCGGAGCAGGAAAAATCCCCACCTTCTATATACATCTAACTCCCTGTCACCTGGGGATAGCCTCCTCCTTATCTGCCAAAACATAACAAATGCTTCACTTAGTTCTTTAACCCAAGGGGCATCCAGCTTCCACCCCTCCTGACCTCTCTGTCTGTCCCACAGGCACCTTACCCTCAACCTCAACTGAATCCTCACTTCCCTTCCAGTCTCCCACCTGTCTTCTCCTCTGGAACTGACAGGAAGGAAAGATGTTAGCAAGTGAAGTTTTCACAGGAAGTCACAAATCTGGGTCAGTCATTCTCTAAATTATAACTTTTAATATTTGATTCTTTTATTGGGCTGCTGATATCACATCATGAAGAAATGGTTCCTGAGTTCCATTCTTGGGAGCAAGTGTTGGTACAGCATAGAAGTAATGACCTGACACCAGCTCCTGGCTTCTCGCACAGGTAAGGAGAAGTGAAACGGAGAGATGTGCAGGGAACCTGTGTAGGCACTGGGCTCAAAGGCCCGGGGTGTGTCCCCTGATGATTCTCCCAAAGGAATACTCTAAACTGTGCTTTAGGAACCTTTGCCAGGCCCCCAGGGCTGGCCCTAAAGTGGCATGCCCAGAGCCATCCAAAGAATAAATAGGGTCAGGGCACTGCAGTCACACCTGGGCTGCCTGGCTCAGGGTATTTCACTGTTCCACGTTCCCTCCCAGGAGCACAGAGAGCAGAGCATGGAGAGAACTATGAGAAAAAAACTACCTGTACTCAATAGCAAAAAGTACTCTACCTCTTTATCTGAACAATGTTTTGTTTACTTGTTTATTTTTAAGGAGGATATAATAGCCAGAAAAGTAAAAAGCAGATTTCAGGTTTTATTCCAGACAATTTTTCTTCAATGTCTCAGTTATTAGAAAAGATGTGTTTTAAGATCTTTACCAGAGGAGTTTCTGTGTTAAGTCTGGTTATTTCAGGAGCCGGTTGGGCTTTCTAAAAGAAAATTTAGAGTAAATTGGTTTAAATGTAAGTAGGATTGTTAACTGGATCCCTCTAGCTCTGAGGTCTTTATTTTGGGGTAATAAAGATTGAAACCAACAAAATGGCAAAGAGCAAGTCCTAGGGAATGGCCAGATGCATGCTTATTGGAAATCATAAAGGAAACCCCTCCAGTGTTCAGTAAGGCCAACACCATGCAAGTTCAGACTCAGGTCTTTATCATGGTTTTGGTACCAGCGGTGTAGGGGATGTGACAGAAAGCAGGGATGCTCTTGGGTGCAGATAGACCCTGAAAGTGCAAACCGTTTCATTTGCATGTTACTTTTGCCAAGTCTCTCCTATTTGCCTCTTGCCTTTCATAAGTTAGTTCCTGATCCTCTGTTTGCTTGGGGCTCCTCTTACGTTAACTCATTTAGGGCCCCACTTCCAGGTTAAATTAACTATTCAGGACCTGAACCTGCCCGCCTAACTTCCTCTATCTCCTGACCTCAAGATTCAGTGACTCAGTATTCCCCTTGGGAATCTTAAACAGTTTAACTGTACACATTACTTTTCAGTGTCTCTTTATCCCACCCGCCCAATGGTTTAGGCTGCTGAGAGCAGGTGCTAAAGGCTTCAATTGTTTTTTAACTTTGCCCATGGTCCCATTTGTGGAGAAATGACACAACAGAGATAGCTTGAAAACTGTCCTGTGGGTTACACTGTCTATTTAAAGATTTATTCAGTGCCTCTCAGACAACATGTTCAATGCAAACTCAGGCAAGAAAGAAGATGGGAAAAGATAGAGATACAAAGATTGAATAATAAAGTGGGTGAATCCATTAGTAGAGCTCAGGAAAGGAGTGGAGTCATAGGCTGGCTAAGGTTGATTCCAACAAAGAGAAGTGCCGGGATGGCAGAGTTAGTAGAGAGCAAAACAAAGCAAAATTAACGTTGCAGTGATTGGACAAGGGAAATAGGATGAGGACAAGCAATTAAGGATGAATAGTATGAAGCAGAACCAGTGACAGCAGAAAGAAGAGACTAGCAAAAAGCAGAAGTCAAGAATGCAACCTAGGGGGAGAATTCAACCAAACAAGGAAAAATGAGGCATTCGTGTCAAAACTGAGTTTAAGTTATCTAGGTACAATAAGCTGCTATAATAAAATACCATAGACTGGGTCACTTATAAACAATAGAAATTTATAGCTTACGGTGCTAGAGGCTGGGAAGTGGAAAATGAAGGTACCAGCAGGGTTGGGGGATGATGAGGATCTGCCTGCTTTTTTGTTTATTAGGTAGTTCTTTCCAGTATATCCTCACATGCTAAAGGTAATGAGTGAGCTTCTCTAGGCTATGTTATGAGGTTACTGATCACATTTATGTGGGCAGAGCCCTTATGACCTAAACACCTCCCCAAAAGGTCCACTCCTCTAATACCACTGCCTGAGGATGAAGGTTTCAAGTATAAATTTTAGGGACAACGTAAATATTCAGACTATAGCATAGACATACAAATCTCAGTGGTTTCAAAGTTGGCATCACTGGGTTATAGCAAAGTGCTATACCTGATGCTTGGAATGATGAAGCTGAGCCATCAAGAATATTTTCAGCTCTGCATGCATTAAATGCAAGATGGCATGGATGCATGATAAATTTTAGAAGGGTTAATAAAATCTAGTTGAAATTTAAGTCTTATCAGTGAAAGTACAAACATTCGGCTCTTTGCAATTCTAAGCAGTTCCTACTATCACAAGCACCTAAAGAATAGCTCAAATCTACTTACCAGGTTTTCATGCCCACCCTGTGGGGCCACCTTTAGAGAAAGGATGTGAACTCTTATTCCAGATGAAACTATGTTATAAGGGTCCAAAGACAAGGTGAAGTGGTGTGGAGATGTGCGGTTTGGGGTGTTACCAAGAGGCTTAAGCAAAGGTGTGCCATGTGTTAATTTATGTTTAAAAATATTATTCTTACAAGGTCCTATAGGAAACTGCACTGGAAGAAGCATTGCCTAGGACAAGAGACACAATAGGTCCCCAATTACAAAGATAATATTTTAATGCAATAATAAAAAACATCAAAAATTGTGCAAAAAATCCATAATGAAAAAATATCAAATATTCAAATAGTGACAGAATTAGCAACAGCCATGCAAAGATTCATGAGAGGCTGGATGAATCTGAATATGTTTACGAAAAAGGATTAGATGACTGATGCAGACTGCAGAAAGTCAGAGTAGAGAGTCATAAGAGTCATAATAAAAGCCCAACATAATGATCCAGAGGATCCTTTCAGTTACCCCACTAGGGGATGCGAGGAGAAACAGGTTTAGGAAAGGCTATGTACAAGTTTGTCTCATCTGAAATGGGTTTGGGGTATCAAAGGGCAGAAACACAGCCAGTGACTAAACATATAGACCTGGTGCTCTGGCACAGGAGTCCCGGCCGACTGCAGAGAATATAGCTTTCTCTCACATAGCTGCTGCTGGCAGCGGTGTGTGAGAGAGCTACCCAAGGAAGGCATACAGAGAGGAGGGACGATAGTATTGACCATGATAACAAAAAGTGTAGTAACTTGCTGAGAAGTTTACAAGCATTATCTAATGAAATCTTCACAATGAGCCTAAGAGGTCTGTGCTATTATTATCCTTATTTATAGTTGAAGAAATGGACATTTACAGAGGTAAAGTAAGCTAGGATTTGAGCCCAGCAAGTAAACGGCAAAAGCAAGATAGAGACTCAGACAGGAAGAGGGAGAGGGTGTGGCTTTAGACAGTCTGGAAAAGGATAGAATCAGTTCTATGGTATAGGGCTGTGTAGGCTTGGGCAGCACACTTATCCTCCTAGAGCTTCTGTTTCTCCATCTGTAAAATGGAAATGAGACATCTCACAGGACTGTTGTGAGGGTGAGATGGGAACTTTTGGTGTTTGATGGGTGCTTAGGATGAGCTAGTAACTATTGTAATCATTAGGACCATGCCAGGGTCATTGGAACATTTCAAAGGGCAAATAGGAAGGAGAATGTGGTGGAGAGGGAAGAGGAAGTTCAGAAGAAATGGAGCTAAGGGTGAAAGGGGGCTGTCACAAGAGTGTTAGGGTTGTTTTTCTGCTGTTAAGGTCTTTAGCTGAGGCTGACAGTGTCTGTAGTGGAGTGGTGAGTTAAGAATTGATCGTGACCATAAGAGCTAATGGTTAGGGCTGGCACTTCCTGAAATCTTGCCTCCAAAAGGAAAGAAAGGGAGGAGGGATGTTACTTGAAGAGGTTGCCCAGAGTTCTCTTTCCACACACCAGTACCCCATGATAGGAGAAAGTGAAGCAGTTTCCTTCCCAGGGAAAAAGAAAGAAAATAAAGAAAACATCCTTAGTCCAAAACTAAGGATGACTTGCCAATTTAACACATTTTAAAATGTTTAACATAATTTAAAATGACAGGGAGCTTTCAGAAAAATACTGTGAAACTGTTACATAAGTGGCATCCACAATTCACTGATAATGAAATAAAGCCTTAGGAGAAGGTAAGAGGTAGATTCAAAAATTGTCAGCGCAGACAGATGAAGAGACTTCCCTGTCATCCCAGCTTGTGCACAGAATCAAGGTGACAGGCTAATGCTAGAATAGCCATGAGGAGGATGTGTCCAAGAGAGCTACCAGCAAGAGGGATGATTTAAATATAAGCAAGAATGAATGGGAGGGAGGAAATTAGTGAAATAAGAGTACTTCAGCTCCTCTAAACCATGCGAGAAATGCCCGAGAAGGATTGTTAAGCATAACTTTGCACTAAGAATGCACAAAGATTGTTTGAATTTTCTTAAAACCTTAAGGGAAGATAGGAATTATTTGTGTATTTTGTTTTTTGTAGAGGCTTGGGCACCGAGGACACAATAATGTTTGGATTTCACCTGGCTGGCAGATGGTGGCACCAGTTTTGAGCCCAGGTCTTCTGATGCAGATCCAGCGCCCTACCCAGCAACTCACACAGGCTTTTGTTCACAAGTAGGACTCTTGATTTGCAGAAGCGGAGTAGAAAAGAAACCTTGTCTTTTGTTTTACCTGTGAAGATTCATCTTGACTCCACTGAGGATAATGAGGAAAGCTTGGAGAGAGACAAAAGATTAAGGATAATTTGCATAATGCTAGTTAGATGGGGAAAGGCTTTTATTTCATAAAATTTATTTAATAGTCACTGAAGGCTGGATGTCATGCAGAGCTTGCACAAGACTGTGCAGAGAAACTAAAAGCAGGATAAACCGCAACTATTCATCGCAGTGACCCAAACCCAAAGCTATTCACGCTCGAAGAGAAAGATTCATCAGCACGTACCTGACGTGCCCTTTGGAAAGCGTGTTAACCATTTTATGTAAGAAGTGGCATTTCATCCAGGTTCACTCATTTGCATACTTGTGATTTCATTTGCATATATTTTACTGTGCTGCACTCTAGAAATATATTCTCTTATTTTATTCTCTCCTTTAAATTCCTTATACCTTCTTAGAAGACCAAATGTTGAGGAAAATATTCTTAAAAAGAAAAACAACTATGTGGCTTCTGTATCAAATCTACCATCAAAACTGCCTTTTCTTTTATTTTAAATATCTGGCGATTATGTCCCCGGCATCACACTAAGCCCAGCCTTCCTCACCTTCTAACTGGTCTTTTGGCTTCCTGCCCAAACTGACTAATTTAGTCTACTTATTACCACCTTACTACTTTCTCTAAAACTCCACTTACCCAGGGATCAGTGGCCTTCCATGGCAATATAATGCCACTTTTATTAGGTCAGAATTTTTGGTAGTCTTAACTTCTGCCATTTTCAAACTTCCAAATTAGCAGCTGTATTTGTAGCCTTCTTCACTTTAGCACAACAGAAAATTAAGTGTCTTTCAACTCTAGTTAATCCCTTCCTACAGTCTCTAGGAGGTTTGCGTCCTCACCTGGACATTCCCCCCTGGGACAAGAGGAAAGAAAATGAGAAAAATGAGAATAAAAACACCAATCAGAAAGGCTGCAAATATTCTTCTTTTTTCATTGAAAAGAATAAAGACTAGAGACAGAAAAGGAGAAGGAGTGGACAGATAGGGCTTTTAGAAGAGATGAAATTTTCAAGAAAGAATTTAGAGAAAGTTATGGAAAGTAAAGTTGTAAAGCTTTCAGGAAATTTTAACTCAAAGGCAGCCAAACTAGAAAGTAGATATGGATGAGGTCGATTCTGAAAGAGGAAATTAAGCTGAGCATTAGAAGAAAAAAATAAAACATAGAAAGACTGGATGAAACAGTTGGGATATCAGTTTGGCTTCTTAACAGTGGGCAAAATAATGGAGGGTAAAAGAGATGAAAGACATTTCTTTTATGAAAAATACTAGGTTTAACACAGTCACAGGGGATGGGATCACTAAATAAAGGGGTCCAGGTTTTTTCTATCTTGCTGCTCCTGCCAGCTCTGTCCTTATGTAATTGTAGTTGGCTCATCTCCACCACAGCTATAATCCAATGCAAAGAAAAAGGAAAGCATCTTCTTTTGTGACATGAAATTCAGAACTGTGCACATCACTGTTCACATTCCCCTTGTCTGAACATGACCAGATTTCCATATCTAGCTGCAAGGGAATCTGGTCAATATAGTCTCTAGATGGTCATCTGTGCTGGACAAAATTCAAAGTTCAAGGAGTATGTTACCAGAAGAAAAAGAGAATAGTGTTAGTTGAGGGACAATTAGCAGTCTCTATACTTATAGAACAGAAGACTGGAATCTCAATAAGCCTGAGTAGGCTATGCAGTTTGAATATCAACCTGTGTTCAGATTTCAGAGGTGGTTTATGTTGGTTTTAGAAGGGAGCAAAAGACTATAAAGAGATCTTCTAGAAGGAAAAAAATGTGTGCATTTGGTATGACTGATATTGTACTATAGGAGAGACACTGTGAGGTCCATGACTCTGGCCTAGCTCAAGGGTCAGCAAATTTTCTTTATATAAAGCAAATAGCAAAAATTTTAGGCTTTTTGAATCATAGAATGTCTATTAAATCTACTCAGATCTGCTGTTGGAACACAAAACCATTCTATATAATGTTTAAACTAATAGGTATGTTTTTTAAAAGAACTATTATTCATAAAAATAGGCTAAGGGCCAAATTTGATCCTTGAACCATCATTGTGACTGCTTTAGTCTTCTGCTGGATCAGTGTATTACTCTAAAGCTGGCACCTTGCACTATAAAATGTAACTCTTCCATTCATTATTCCTCCTGAATTTAATAGATTATATTGTTTTCTAGACCCTGAGCTACAAAGAAAATGAGACGTGGTGTCTGAACAAAGAGAGGATGTTATCTAAGAAGCAGATTTTCAGGAAATCTGCAAATCACTTGATGATTTCTACAATAAATGTATGGATTGTATGCTGTAGGGATACAAGAGAAGGTTTTCCAGGGTACCACGAGAGGTTTGTCAGAACAAGGGTCACATAGGAGCCTGAGAAGAAGTGATAGTGTCCCTGGTTGACTGAAGAGGAAAAGGGATCGAAGGAGAAGAGACAGAGTGTCATAAAGTGGAAAATAAGAGAATTTGGTATATTTGAAGCACCATGAGTGTTTAAGGAGCAGAAAGGTAAAGGCTTGGGAATTCAGATTAGAAGACATCATTTGTAAGACATTTTAAGAACTTTATAAAGTTTATAGGACTTCAAAGAGTTTTGGGGCTAGATATTGTGAATATATAGAATTCAAAGAATTTTTATAGAACTTTAAAACATTTTGGGAATAGATATTGTGAATGGGGAAGAAACTGTTGAAAAGAAAAGACAAACTCTGATGAGAGGAAAGGGGAAAAGAAGAAAGGGAAAGGAAAAAATATATGTATACACAAGACAGTTAAGGTAGTTAAGAGAATTACATAGCCAGTTTCTTGAAAAGAAAGTTTTGTGCTAATATTCTTTGGACAAGATATCATGCTTATATCTTGTATTCTGGACAACAACTACAAAGGAAATATACAATGTATCAACTATTATAACTGTCCAACTAGCCTGCTTGAAAACTTGGTTTCATTGTTACATTTATCTTTTCCTCCTTTCTTTACAATAAAAAAAGAATTTTGTGAGGAGGGCAATGAGAATCCACTGAGAAAAAGGTATTGAATCAAGCCATAATGGCATGGATGTTAGTGTTAGAGAGGAACATGTGTCATTGAGGGAATGGGGGGAAGATAAAAAGGAGGACAGATAATTACAAAGTATTTTGTAAGGGTGTGTGTGTGTGTGTGTGTGTGCGCGCATGAGAGGGAGGGAGAGAGAGAGAGAGAGAGAGAGAGAGAGAGAGAGAGAGAGAGAGAGAGACTGGAGACCAGCAGAGAAAAAGCCAAATAGATTCAAGAGATTCTTAGGTATTCAAAGTGATATGAACAATTGACTCTTGGAAGGAAATTTTGCAGGGAGAAGAAAGAATGAGGGATGAGCCTGGATTCTGAGTTGAGTCCCTAATGCATGCTACCCCATGCCAAAACAGCATGGAGCACAGAAAAACTAAGTTTGAGAAATTTGATGTTTTTGATATCTACTTGTCACGCTTGGGGCAAGTCTTGGTGGAATCCACTATGCATGGACATACATGTGCTGCCAAAGACAACACAGTTGGATGTTTTTTAGTAGTTGCCTGGAAAAGTCTGGACTAGAACAATAGACTTAATTGACTAAGATGGTTATTTTGAGGGCTGAGTAGTTACTTACATTCTTATGTTTTAGTGAATACAACTTATACAGTCAAAATGGGCAGATACAGAAGTCTGTGTATATCGTTCAGGCTTCTTTAGAGGAATGGAATATAAAGTGGCTATAATTATAAAAGGGAAGGTATTTATTGCCTTTCATGTTCAGCAGCTAGATAGTCTTACAGTGGCCACCTATAGACTGGAAAGCCAGAGGAGTAAGTAGATTCTCTGTCCAACTTTGAAACTTTGAAACAAGAGGGTCAAATAATGTAGCCCCAGGATAAAAGTGAATGCCTAGAAGGTCCTTAGAGAAATTTTGATCTAAGTCGACCTTCAAGGTTGAAGAAGCTGGAATCTGGTGCCTGCACATGATGACAACAGCAAAAGAGTGTACTCAGTGAAGTACAGTGGAGCCCAACGTGGGGCAGGTTTCATCCATCCGCCACTTGTTGTTCCATCCAGGCTCCCAATGTGCTAGATGGTTCTGCTTACATTCAGGGTAAGTCTCTGCCCTCATTCACTGACACTTGCCTATCATCTCTAGAAAAGCACTCACAGACCAAACCTACATATGTGCTAGTAATCTTCTAGGCATCTTTTAATCCAGTCAAGTTGATAAGCAAGATTAACCATGAAACAGGGGATACTTGAAACATGGATGTGAGATATAAAATTAAATGGAAGCCTGTTAATGCTTAGAGTAGATGTAATTTTTTGCATTGTAATTCTCTCTAAATAACTCAAAGAATGAAGCAGTTGCTTAAGTCGGTGTTAATTATACAAACCAGCAGTTACTTAGGGGCAACTAGTAGGTTTTGAAAGTGAGATTTGAGAATTTCTAATGTGATGTGATGAACAATTTCTTGAAATAATATCCTCATAAAAATAAAGTGAATTTCATGGGAGTATCTTGTCTTTGGTTTTGAGAGTTCAGCAAAATTGTATGCCTACAGTTTTATATTACTTCAGTAGTTCTGTTTATTTATCATCTTAATAAAGGCCTTGAGTCAGTAACTTTCCCAGGTTATGATGAAAGAGATGCCTGAACCAACTGAAAGTTATATGACATTCTGGTTCCAAGTGTAATCAAGAACAGGTAACGATATTCTATTGTCTTAAGACACTATAGTCTTAAAATATAGTTTCCTTATCTTATTTTTTGAATTTTAACTTCTGCTACACATTTAAGTGTTTTTTTTTTCCTGAAATTCAGTATTATAGGGTGAGTATTTTCCATGCCATTCGGTACAGGCCAAACAATCTTTCTCCATTGAAAATGTTACAAATAGATCAGCAAAATGATATTGCTGTCAGTTATTATCTGAAACATGGGGATGGACTCACACTGAACTATTATCATCAAGTACTTTTTCTTGTTTCTACAAAAATGCTAAGTGAACTTATAGTCTGAACTAGAAGATGAGTAGACTTTGTAAATTAGAACATATGGGTGTCATTTTCCTCTCAAGAAGAGCATTTCTCAACAATATGTTTCATTATCTTGACTTTTTCAGGTTCATTCTTTGCTTCTAACCACAATAAGATCCTTTAAATGCTCTGGGAGAATGTCCTTAGTGCATTCCAGGGACCATGTTTACCTATGATTATCCTTCAACCTTTGGTGATTGAGAGATGCTGGGAACTGTGCTGGTAAAGGAAATACAAGGTTGCAGGGTTACGTGTTGAAAACCAGGTGGGCATATAGATCTGACAGAGATTAAGCCGACTTTCATCTAATTTAAGTTCCTAATATATTTTTCCTCATAA